ATTTATTTCTGAATTATTTAAATAAAAAATTAGAAGATAATTTATTTATTTGCTTATATTTATAAGCCATTACATAAAAAAATAATTATTAATTTATGGTCGAACAACGATTGTGAATCGTTTAATAGTATGTTAAAGTCTTTAGTAGATAGAAAGACCTCCCCATTACACACTTTAATAGAAAAAATATCCAATAAGAATAGGGTACAAGAGAAAGAACTTGAACGGGCAGTAATTGGACTGGGCCAATTTTTTGTTGTTGAAAGTTATAAGAAATTTATTTTAGGCAAAAATTGGGATAAATTAAGTGATAAAGAACGTCGTCATCGTCTCATCGCAATGATGAAAGGACGGATTTTAAATGATGATGATATAGTTTCGACATGTGGTCAATTAAAGTTGGTTAAACCTAGAGGGTCTAAAAACCCAACGCAATATAAAAAAATTAAAGTAAAGCATATGGATATTAATTTTTAAACATTAAATTTGTATCTTCCCTTTATTTTATTATTTTTAGATGAGTTCGACTTTTCGGGTCGGTAACGTAATAACGATATCAATCCGCATGATTGATGGCTCGATCGAGTCAGATAACCTGTTGGAAGAAGCTAGACTGGAAGCTTCCCGACTATATGGGCAAATGCTCAATATAGTGAGGCCTGTTAGAGACAGACGGTCTCGCAGGTCGCGTAGCCCTAGGAGGGGCTATGGTACCATCTATTGGTACGGAGGAAGAGGATCTTCCTCGAGAGGCTCTCGACGTGCATCTGGATGCTACAGATGCAGTGGCGATCATATCGTCTGATTTTGTCAAGAGGGCCGTGCCCGATATTTCCACGGTGCCCTCTCGCGTATCGGCGCCGAGTCCCCATAATCCCCATCCCCGTATCGGCGCCGATACTCACAATGCCAATTCCCGTAATGGTGCCGACACCAAGTAACCAGGAACCCTGTGTTGACTTGGCGTCGGATGTTTTTAGATTAGATATTAATCCCAAGTCTAATAATGATCATCATACAGATGATGAGTTATTAGATTTTGGGGAGTAATTTTTTTTCTTAATTAATAAATTTTAAATTTTTTAAATCTAATATAATGGTTATGTTTCAGGTTTAAAATTTTAAACTCGCTATATATCCATGGTCTTGGTTTTTTAAACTAAGACCTAAAAGCTCTTAAAAATGGTTGCTTCCACGTGGCTAAGAGCGGAAACATAAAAATGTGTAAATAAATAATTTCCAACTTTTTGTGGCTAAAATCATCATAGAGAAAAAATTTCTTTAATTAATACAAAGTTAGATAGTTATTTATAAATTTTAATATTATTATCAAAATAATCATTCTTATTGAATAAATATTTTTAAAAATAATTATATAATTATTCAAGAAACATAATACACTTATCAAACATTCGTAAGACGAAACCTTAATCATATGATCCATTGGATAACGATTAAAATTTTAACAACAATCTTTAAAGACAACCGGGAATGAAACACCAATACTATTTTACAAAAAAATTTTAACCATATTATGCTTACTTTATAATGTATAGGATATTATAAATGTATACAATATAATGTAACTATAATTGTTTATTTTACTTAGTTATTTTTTTTTATTATCAACTTTATTGAAAGAATATCTTTTTTAAATTATACCATAATATAATATGTTATAAAATCATATTATATTTAATAAATGATATTTTAATTCAAATAATAAATGGTTTATATATCTGATAATAAAATAATTTGTTTTATAAATTTGGTGAAATTAAATTAGTCTGTTTTAATTGACCATTTAAAAAATTAATTTAGTTTTAAAATTTTATGAAAGTTATTGAAAATAGAACTAAGGAGGAAAAACATTATTCCCAATATATTAAGATTTTATAATATCCGTGCAAAAGTAAAAAATTTATTAAGTAGATGTAGTGTCTTAATTATAAGAAATTTGTGTATTTTATAGCAATAATAACCTGAGGATGATAAAAAAAACATAAGTTTGTTCGTAGGTAAGTATCGATTCAATCTTTAATTATTATTTTTTCTTAATATATTATTTAAATAGTTCGAAAACAATAAAATAAATTTATTCAACCTACCTATTTTTTTACTGATAATTTAGAATGAGAAAAAAATTAGAATATTTTTATAAATTATATTAAATTGATAAACGCCATCTTGCGGATTGATAACGATTTACATCTGATATATATAATCGTAGTAATCAAGAAATGAACGTTTTCTTATCTCCTTAATGTATTTAAAATTTAAGGAGACTATATAGTGTAATGTTAAAAATTTTTTTTAAATATTTTTTTTCCTACTCTGGGATTCGGGCATAGGACCTAACGATACGAAGGCAAACGTTCTTACCATTCAGCCCCCTTTAACTTTATATTTTGTTATAATTCTTCATATATATTTGATTTATTAAAATTAACTTAATTTAATCAATATTTTTTAACTAGTATTAATACATAATTTTGTTACCACTACCGCTTGGCAGGCTTGAGAAAATTTTAACACCATTATTATGTGTATGAAGCTGGCTTGGAAATTTTTTTAAAAAAAAATTATTAATACCATTTTCTGAATCTCCATGATAAACTATACACGACTCTATTCATTTTTATAAAAATAATCTATCTTGACCGGGAACGCGTATTTTAGTCAAAAAATGAAAAAAAAGTGTTTTTTCAAAATTTTACTAAGTTTCTACTTTTTTTTAAATAAAAAAAAACATTTTCTGTATCCATTTAATGAGCTAAATATGAACCTGCTTTTATTTTTTTTAAAAAAAAATGTATCTTGACTGGGGACGCGTAGTTTAATCAAAAAAAAATTTTTTCGAAAATTAATTTAAAAAAAAAATTATAAATACCATTTTCGGAATCTCCTTGAAAAACTATACACGATTCTATATTCATTTTTATAAAATAATCTATCTTGACCGGGGACGCGTATTTTAGTCAAAAAATGAATAAAAAAGTGTTTTTTCAAAATTTTACTAAGTTACCACTTTTTTTAAATAAAAAAAAACATTTTCTGTATCCATTTAATGAGCTAAATATGAATCTGCTTTTATTTTTAAAAAAAAATGTATATCTTGACCGGGGACGCGTAGTTTTTTCATGTAAAAAATTAGTATTTTAAAAATTTTACTAAGTTACCACTTTTTTTTTAAATAAAAAAAAACATTTTCTGTATCCATTTAATGAGCTAAATATGAATCTGCTTTTATTTTTTTAAAAAAATGTATCTTGACTGGGGACGCGTAGTTTTTCATTTAAAAAAATAATTTTTTAAAAATTTACTAAGTTAACTTTTTTTTTAAATCATAAAAAACATTTTCTATATTCATTTAATGAGCTAAATATGAATCTGCTTTTATTTTTAAAAAAAATTGTATCTTGACCAGGGACGCATAGTTTTTTCATGTAAAAAAATAATTTTTTAAAAATTTTACTAAGTTATCATTTTTTTTTAAATCATAAAAAACATTTTTTAACTCATCTTATAAAGCTAAATAAGATTTTTTATTAATATTATATAAATTAAACCCGTTTGACCCGGGACATGTATTATTTTAGTCATGCCCATATTTTGCAAGTCATACATTAAATCTTGTTGCAAAAGATTCATTTAATATTATTGCAAATGAGGTTTTATAAATCAATGAAAGATTTTTTAAAATCTTTTCTTGGAAATTTTTCCAAAACATATGGAGATATTTTGTTTACCCTATACACTTGTTTATGTAATAATATTGCTAAAATCAATAGAAAAGAATTATGAAATATTATAAAACTTTTATTAGAAATTATAAATACATTTCATAGTGCAAGGGCAAAAAATTTATTATACCCCCAAATAAAGCTCAATTAGAATTTTTTTTTAAATGATAACAATATTTGAGAAAGTAGAATCTTTAAATATTGAAATTCAAAGTTATTCATTACATTTTCAAAATATAAATATAAAATAGAAATCCTGATCGAAATTCTATTTGTAATAAGACAAGATATAGTATAGGTAAGTTTTGGGGAAAAGGAAAAACGTTTTTAAGATTTGAAGAAGGCTCATATTAACAATCATTTTGGGTCAGTTAATGAATATTTTTTATCAAGTTTTAGATCATATAAGGGCAAGTATAAAAAATTGTTTCAACAAACCAATAACTATATTAGATAAAAATTATTTGGATTTTTTCAGAGTAAATTTATTAAAATGCTATTAACAATTCCTGTAAGTGCTTGTTCTAACAATCATTTTCAGGACTAACACATATTAAAACTTATTTATAATTTAGTATAAAATCAGTAATGATTAAATCATATTTCAATTTTAAATGTTAACAAGGAAGTAATGAATATTATAAATAAAAATTAAATAAACACATTTTATCATAAAAAATAAATAAATATTAACATTTATATAATTCACAAAATAAGTATTAAATATTATTTAGTGTATTATCATCTACTGGCAGAATCTTGATGCCTCATTAATTTATTTTTTGCTAAAATCTTGATCTAGGCATTTTAAAAATTGACTAAATTGAGTCATTTAACAGACACTAATTTTTACACGTAATTTAAATTAATTTTATAAATTCAATTTTGCTTAAAATTGATAAAGAGATAATCTCTCAATATATTGGTTTGCCAAAAAAAATATATTTAATGATTTAAATATTCATATAATGAAAATAATTTTTTTTTTAAAACATAGGCAAATAATTTTGACATCTGCAGGTCTCTTACCAACATATAGTAGTGACAAATATATTAATAATTGGTAGTATCTTCATAAATTTAAAAATAGAATCATTGGGATTATATTTTAAAGTGTTTAAGATATTTCAAATTAAAATAACTCAAAAAAATTTTTTGTTTCATGGTATCTCAATATTTAAGATAAATCAATGAACTAATTAAACCAAATTTTTTTGTATGAGAATTGAATTTAATTTTAAAAGTAAAAATGATTACATCATATTCTTGTTCTTGATCTTCATTTGGTCCCTGTTAATTATTTAGGATTAGATATATAATTAACTATTTTACATTTAAAATATATAATCTTGAACTAGCACCAAATTTAATCACATAACCTACATGGAGTCGATAATATCTCTGTGGTTCTAATTTATTTTTATTTAAATAAGTTCCATGAGTGCTTCTCAAATCATAAATATAATATCCAGGAAATTTATTATCAACATTCTTGTTACAATATTGAATTATTGCATGATATCTGGATATAGAAGGATTTTCAAGTCTTATATCTGAGTTCTCACATCTTCCAAAAATTAAGAATAATTTTTTTTGTGTAAAAGGTATATTTTCTATTATTTTTCCACCCTTAAGTGTCTCGATATAATATAGCGGGTTCAATTCTCCAGCCCAAGTTGGGCTTATATAAGATAAATCCATGAATGAATGAATAATAATATTAATATATATACTCATATATAACATAATTTGCTAAGCAATGCAGAAATATTTTTAAAGACAATATAATCAATAGTCTATTGCAAAGGGGGCTACGGGAGGCGAAACCCCCTGCCAAAAATTTTTAATTTATTTTCAAAAGATCTTATATATCTGAATCTAAGCAGTCGATATGCCTAACTTTGAGGGTGATATGGTAGATTACACCCTATACCGCTGATATTTGGTTTAGTAATGACGGATGACCCGGAGTCGGACTCGTTATGACTTTGTAGAATATGTAGTAGCCTAAATTTAAGCTTCAGGGGCGTCGCTGATTTACAATCTCAAAGGGCTCAACTAAAAAAAATTTTATGGGTGGCTTCGCCCCCCAAACCCCCCATTTTGCGGGCCTTATGCCGGGTTTTTATATTAATATACTTTTTAAAAATTTTCTAACTCTAAATTTATTATATTATGCAAAAATATAGCATATAAATAATTAAAACAATATAAGACATTTCTAAAAATATTATTTTTTAATACAAAATCTATTTATTACAGAATAAAATATTTTAGATTGATGATATAAAAAAAATTTGCGTCTGAGGAATTACATGTGATAAAAAAAGGTTAATTAATTCATACATATGCCTCAATTGATAATGGTTTTTAAAAACTATATATTATAAAATTAGCAACTTACATTGAAAATCAAGAAACTAATATAACACTCTGTTACCATTTAGACAATGTTTTATAAAATGGACTAATAAGGAAAAATTTATAGGCCTAACCAAATCAACAATTCTTGGAGAAGAGAATATAAACGAACAATCCAAATCATAAAACTATATGGTGGTTAGAGCTTCCTCTTAAATGAAATGATGGAAGCTAGATAAGTAATTGAGAAAAAAGTGAGATATTAAATTTCTAAAAGATTATCTTCCATTTTTAATGATATATAAACAACTACACAGTTGACCATTATTGCTTATAAAATATGCAATCATATGCTCTCAGCAGCTGTAATAATAATCTTAAATTACATACCCACACAAATAATAGATGCTGGGCAGTCATACCCATGAGACTCACTATATTAACTTCAGAGTTGTTAAAAGATCGAATCAAAAGATCGACGATCCTGTATTCGATCGCAAATTTGTCAATTTTACGAGATTTATGATTCTGATTTAAATTGAGGATCGAGATCATTTTGTTTAAAATTCGATCCCGATCTTTTTAAAAATTATTTTTTTACTTAAAAAGCAATAAATAAAATAAAAATTTTGAAAATTGAATTAAAATATTATTTTTTAAAAAAATATCTATCTTCATATTTTATCAACTTCCATTATCAACTTCCATTATCAACTTCCATTATCAACTTCCATTATCAACTTCCATTATCAACTTCCATTATCAACTTCCATTATCAACTTCCATTATCAACTTCCATTCCACCATTTATTTTATAGATATATTTATTCATTTCCTAAATTTTAATTCTCCTTATTAGTGTTGCGTAATCGGCTAATTTTAGCCGACTAAAAACGGCTTAGCCGAGATTTTAGGTGGAAAAATCGGCTAAGCCTAATTAGGTATAGCCTAAAAATCGGCTAAGCCTAATTAGGCTAAGCCTAAAAATCGGCTAAACCTAATTAGGCTAAGCCTAAAAATCGGCTAAACCTAATTAGGCTAAGCCTAAAAATTGGCTAAGCCTAAAAATGGGCTAAGCCTAAAAATTGGCTAAAATAAATTATTCAAAATTCTGCATCGATGCTTAGCAGCATTAATTATTATTTATTTATTTTAGTAAAATAATTTATTTTAGTAAAATAATTTATTTTATTTATATTTAATGTAAATATTTTATTATTATCAACAAATAAACATGATATGATTTAATATTTTTTATTTATATTATTATATTTTGAAATGAAAATAAATTTATTTATTTGATGTTTTTTTAATAAAAAAAAATAATATGCTGCTATATTGTAAAAATATAATATTCTTTAAATATAATTTATTAGTGATTTTCACAATCTTCTTTGTAAATACATCTTTTATTGAGGAATTATATTGTAAATTTTATTAGATAAATAAACAATCTTTTAGGTGAAATCTTATATCATTTTTTTAAAATTATCTATTTATTATTAAATGAGGTGGATTTTATGAAACTTTTTTGATGTTATTTTATATGATCTTTTTAAGGATAATATTTTAATGTGACAATTGTCATAATCGTTCTTTTATAAGTTTTTTGAATTTTTTTGAAGAAAGTATGTTAAAATAAGTATTAATAACATGTGTAAATACAAATTTAGTGAAGATGTACCAATGAAAAGTGACAATTGTCATAATCGTTATTTTTAAAGTTTTTCGAATTTTTTTGACGAAAATATGTTAAAATAAGAATTAATAACATGTGTAAATATAAATTTAGTGAAGATGTACCAACGAAAAGTGACAATTGTCATAATGGTTAATTTTAAAGTTTTTTGAATTTTTTTGACGAAAATTTGTTAAAATAAGTATTAATAACATGTGTAAATATAAATTTAGTGAAGATGTACCATAGAAAAGTGACAATTGTCATAATCGTTATTTTTAAAGTTTTTCGAATTTTTTTGACGAAAATATGTTAAAATAAGAATTAATAACATGTGTAAATATAAATTTAGTGAAGATGTACCAATGAAAAGTGACAATTGTCATAATGGTTAATTTTAAAGTTTTTTGAATTTTTTTGACGAAAATTTGTTAAAATAAGTATTAATAACATGTGTAAATATAAATTTAGTGAAGATGTACCATAGAAAAGTGACAATTGTCATAATCGTTATTTTTAAAGTTTTTCGAATTTTTTTGACGAAAATATGTTAAAATAAGAATTAATAACATGTGTAAATATAAATTTAGTGAAGATGTACCAATGAAAAGTGACAATTGTCATAATGGTTAATTTTAAAGTTTTTTGAATTTTTTTGACGAAAATTTGTTAAAATAAGTATTAATAACATGTGTAAATATAAATTTAGTGAAGATGTACCATAGAAAAGTGACAATTGTCATAATCGTTATTTTTAAAGTTTTTTGAATTTTTTTGACGAAAATTTGTTAAAATAAGTATTAATAACATGTGTAAATATAAATTTAGTGAAGATGTACCATAGAAAAGTGACAATTGTCATAATCGTTATTTTTAAAGTTTTTCGAATTTTTTTGACGAAAATATGTTAAAAGAATTAATAACATGTGTAAATATAAATTTAGTGAAGATGTACCAATGAAAAGTGACAATTGTCATAATGGTTAATTTTAAAGTTTTTTGAATTTTTTTGACGAAAATTTGTTAAAATAAGTATTAATAACATGTGTAAATATAAATTTAGTGAAGATGTACCATAGAAAAGTGACAATTGTCATAATCGTTATTTTTAAAGTTTTTCGAATTTTTTTGACGAAAATATGTTAAAATAAGAATTAATAAAATGTGTAAATATAAATTTAGTGAAGATGTACCAATGAAAAGTGACAATTGTCATAATGGTTAATTTTAAAGTTTTTTGAATTTTTTTGACGAAAATTTGTTAAAATAAGTATTAATAACATGTGTAAATATAAATTTAGTGAAGATGTACCATAGAAAAGTGACAATTGTCATAATCGTTATTTTTAAAGTTTTTCGAATTTTTTTGACGAAAATATGTTAAAATAAGAATTAATAACATGTGTAAATATAAATTTAGTGAAGATGTACCAATGAAAAGTGACAATTGTCATAATGGTTAATTTTAAAGTTTTTTGAATTTTTTTGACGAAAATTTGTTAAAATAAGTATTAATAACATGTGTAAATATAAATTTAGTGAAGATGTACCATAGAAAAGTGACAATTGTCATAATCGTTATTTTTAAAGTTTTTTGAATTTTTTTGACGAAAATTTGTTAAAATAAGTATTAATAACATGTGTAAATATAAATTTAGTGAAGATGTACCATAGAAAAGTGACAATTGTCATAATCGTTATTTTTAAAGTTTTTCGAATTTTTTTGACGAAAATATGTTAAAATAAGAATTAATAACATGTGTAAATATAAATTTAGTGAAGATGTACCAATGAAAAGTGACAATTGTCATAATGGTTAATTTTAAAGTTTTTTGAATTTTTTTGACGAAAATATGTCAAAATAAGTATTAATAACATGTGTAAATATAAATTTAGTGAAGATAGTGACATTTGTCATAATCGTTAATTTTAAAGTTTTTAGATTTTTTTTGAAGAAAATATGTTAAAATAAGTATTAATAACATGTGTAAATATAAATTTAGTGAAGATGTACCAATGAAAAGTGACATTTGTCATAATTGTTATTTTTAAAGTTTTTTGAATTTTTTTAAAGAAAATATGTTAAAATAAATATTAAAAACATGTTTAAATAAAAATTTAGTGAAGATGTACCATAGAAAAGTGACAATTGTCATAATCGTTATCTTTAAAGTTTTTTGAATTTTTTTGACGAAAATATGTTAAAATTAGTATTAATAACATGTGTAAATATAAATTTAGTGAAGATGTACCAATGAAAAGGGACAATTGTCATAATCGTTATTTTTAAAATTTTTTGAATTTTATTGACAAAGATATTTTAAAATAAGTATTGATAACATGTTTAAATAAAAATTTAGTGAAGATGTACTCTAGATAAGCGACAATTGTCATAATCGTTATTTTTAAAGTTTTTTGATTTTTTTTGACGAAAATAGTTAACTTGCATCGATATTGATTTTAAAATAGAAAAAAAAGTTTACCCAAATTTTAAACAAGATTGTCTGATAAAAATTGGTAAAAAAAATAATAATTTCTAACTTAGGATTAGATATTATGATATGAATTTTGCATATTAATTTCTGACCCGATGAACAAATGTAATAAAATGCCAATTTGCTCCTGTTTTTGGGGAAGAATCTATTATTACCATATGTGTTTCTATGGCATATAGTCAGGCAATTTTAATTTTACAATCTATATTTTTACCCATTTACATCAAAGAAATT